CGGTATCTTTAGCTGCTTCGGCCTTCTTTTCAGCTTCAGATTTAAATTCCGACAACTTTTCACCAGTCTTATCTTTCGCCTCAACTGCTGTATCCTTCGCACTGGCCAACACATTACCAGTGGTGTCTTTCGCAGCTTCGGCTCTTTTCTCGGCTTCGGACGTCCAGTCCGAAAGTTTTTGCACAGTTGAATCCTTCATCTCAGCTGTTTTGTTCTGAGTGCTACCCCAGTAATCGCCAGCAGTGTCTTTCGCCGCCTCAGCTTTTTTCTCAGCATCAGTCTTCCACTCCGACATTTTTGCAGCAGTCTGGTCCTTCATTTCAGCTGCTTTTTGCTGAGCGCTGCTCAACCAGTCCGAAGCAGTGTCTTTGGCTCCTTCAGCTTTCTTTTCAGCTTCAGTGGTCCAGCCCGAAATTTTTTGAGCCGTTTCGTCTTTTGCTTCAGCTGCCTTCCTCTGAGCTTCGTCCAAGGTGTCTTTTGCAGCTTCCTTAGCGTCTTCTGCTACCTACAAATTTATAGATTCTTTAGTAGAACGTGGAATAAAGGCGAAACGGATTCCTGGTTACAGTGAAAAACATACCGCTTGTCCATACTCCTTCCATTCTGCTGCCTTCTTCTGTGCATCATCAGCCACTTTCGAAGCCGTATCCTTAGCAGCTTCAGCTTTCTTCTCAGCTTCAGACTGCCAACTTGAAACTTTCGTAGCCGTTTCATCTTTTGCCTCAGCCGCTTTCTTCTGAGCTTCATCAAAGTAGCCCTTTGTTGCATCTTTTGTGTCTTCTGCCACCTGAAGGGGGTGAGTTCAACAAAAACCATACTGATTCCTTAACTTTTGAGTTTCTCTGATATAATGTTTGAAAAACACCAGCACATGAGAGCGCGGGTTTTTTTAAAACTGTTGAAGCGAAATAACTAATTTCAAAATTTTTTAGGTGCTTAGTAAAGCGATGTAGCGTAAGCGCTTCTCAATCTTTGACTAATCATCATTATCTATAATGGTCGACGATGGTAATAATACTCTCAATCTTAGAATATAGGCTGAGACTTTTTGGAAAATTTACGCTTTAAATAAAAGAACTTTTCCTCATGTTATAAACTATATTTGAAATGAGAATAACTCATATGATCTTTCCGTACGTAC